TTCCTTCCTTCCTTCTTTCCTTCCTTCCTTCCTCTCTCCCTCCCTCCCTCCTTTCCATCTCTCTCTTTCTTTTCCTTCTTTCCTTCCTTCCTCCCTCCCTTCCTTCTTTCTCCCTCTCTCTTTCCTTCCTTCCTCCCTCCCTCTCTCTCTCTCTTTTCTCTCTCTCTCTCTTTCTTTTTCCTTCCTTCCTTCCTTCCTTCCTTCCTTCCTTCCTTCCTTCCTTCCTTCCTTCCTTCCTTCCTCTCTCCCTCCCTCCCTTCCTTGTCATCAGCAGTGTCCACACAGGGAAAGTCCCCAAAAGTTAGGGTTCTGGTCAGAACCACGTGGTTGAAATCCCATCCCTTTTGCATGTGCCATATGATTGCGATTGCCATCTTGACTTGTTTTTGCTTTGTTTGGGGTTTTTTGCACGCATGCACACACACACACACACACACACACCCCACATGGTACTTAAACAGAGAAACACACAGAAAAACACATAGAGAGAGCCAATTTGGTTTAGTGGTTAAGGCAGCAAGCTAGAATCCGGGAGACGGTGAGTTCTAGTCCCACCTAGGTGACTTTGGGCCAGTCACTCTCAGCCCAGTCCCACTTCACAGGGTTGTTGTGATGGGAAAAAAATAGGAGAAGGAAGGGGTGTTTGATAGATTGGCCGCCCTGAGTTTGTTTGCTTTTTACAAAAATAATAGATGCGGGATATAAATTAAACGAATAGCATACTAACTTGGGGATTAAAGGACCTATTTGGGTACTCAGAGGTCTCAATTAGTTGGTCGCTGACAACTTTTCAAATTAAGCTGCATAAAATTAACCAAGAGCCGCTTAATGGCCCAAAGGTTGGTATTTGTTTGTTGCTGTTTCCTTTTCATGACTTGGAGGCATTTTTTGACTGCTAGTGATTGCCTATACAAGGCCCTGCGGTTTTTTGGCAAGGTTTTTCAGAAGTGGTTTTCCATTGTCTCCTTCCCAGGGCTAAGATAAAGTGACTGGCCCAGACCACCCCGTTGGTTTTGGGCCTGAAGCGAGACCGGAATCCCTGGTTTTGGGCCTGAAGTAAGACTGTTTTCCCAGTGCCTTAACCACTGCATTAAAGATTGCCTATCCATGATCTATTGTGAAAGTTGATGCAGATAGAGTTTAGCAGAGTTGGAAGGGACCTTGTAGGTCATCTAGTCCAACCCCCACCCACCCACCCACCCAAGCAAAAGACCCTACTACCACCATTTCTGACAGGTGGCAGTCCGGTCTCTTCTTGAAAGCTTCCAGGGATGAAACTCCCACAACTTACTTTAACAAGCTAAACCCAACTAACTAAACTAAACTGAAGTTATTGTAGCTGACAAGTGGGGTTAAAATCCTTGGTGTAAAGCAGCTCTTACATGTTGTTGCAACTTCGGAGCAGGCTTCCTCTGTGCAGCACTGTTGCATCATATGGTACATGTGTCCATTCCCCAAATCAAAATGCATGTGGATATTATCACACTCAGCAGATTTGCCACAGGATTTGTGAAACATGTACTCAGGTCTGCTACCTACAGTGGAGGTCAAAGAAGAAATTAAAACAATATTTTGGAGGATTGGAAAAATGTCTTTCCTAGGAAGAATGGTCTTTGCCTGAGCAACTCGTTTCATGGACCTTCTCTGCGTGCCTACTGACCTTGTTCCCACAACCTATTCAATCACTGAATCCTGAATATTATGTTGAGTTGACATACTGAAACGTAAACTAACCTCATGGGCTGGCTCACACAATATGCTAAGAAGAGGAGGAGGAGGAACTACCTAGCAAATAAGGTCTTGATGTTCTCTGAGGTTGGTGGTTTTCTTGCAGACATTTCATTACCAGCGCACTGATGATGTTACCTAGTTGGGCAATGAACGTCTGCAAGTTCACCACCAAGCTGAGAGAGCACCAAGGCCCCCACTGTTCAACCCCAAGCTGCAAATATTCTCCTCTATTGAAACTTAGCAAAGGTAAAATTAACCACGCTAAGAATGCTGTACAAATGATTCTGACCTCTTGAGTGAAGTGTGGCAGTGCTAACAGCAGCAGAGATGAAGACTGTCTACTCTTGGAAGATGATGATGTGTGTGAGAAAGAGAGGGAGAGAGGGAGAAAGAGAGACAGAGAGAGGAGAGAGAGGGGGTGAGAAAGAGAGAGAGGGAGAGCGGGGAGAGGGAGAGAGGGGGAGGAGAAAGAAGGAGGGAGAGAAAGAGAGGGAGAGAGAGAGGAAGAGAGGAAGAGAGAGGGAGAGGAGGAGAGGGGGAGAGAAAGAGGGAGGGAGAGAGGGGGAGAGAGAGAAAGAGAGGGTGAAAGAGAGAGAAGGCGAGGGGGAGGGAGAGAAAGAAGGAGGGAGAGAGGGGGAGAAAGAGGGAGAGAGAGCGCTTTTATAAGCAGCTTTGAAACAGTACTTTGCACAAGTTTTCCTCAACTCCCAAAATGCTATTATCTGGCCTACCTGAGAATTCTTGGAAATATAAGTAGAGAATTTTTCCAACTATACAACAAGCGGAGGTTGCCTTGCTGCAGTTGGGAATTTCCATCCGCCCATCAACACACACACACCCTACACCCCACACCCCACACCCCAATTTTTTTTTCTTGATTTCCAGGCCCTTGCACCAACCCAGAGAAGATTGCACAATCCCAATGACGCAGGTGTCTCCATCGGTGCAGTTCTCCATGGGACCCGTACAGGAAGTCTTGTTGCTGTGGCAGGTTTCACACTGCAAACAACTGCCTTGAAGCGGGAAAACAAAGACAATTAGTATGTTTGAGCAATGGGAAGGATGATGTTGAGAAGGAGACCAGTGTTTTTAATATCCAGAGCATATAAATCCTTGCTCATCAACAGTGAACGACAGGGCCATGGTAGAAAAAGTAGAAATAGTATAAAGGACAAGAATATGGGTACTGTTTATTGTTGGTCTGTCTACTTGACTGTTCAAGTTATGGGCCACTCTAGGGCAGTGTTTCTCAGCCTCAGCAGCTTGAAAACTTGTGGACTTGCCAGCTGGGGGATTCTGGGAGTCAAAGTCCATACATCTTCAAGAAGGAAGAAGAAACATTTCCCTAGAGGCAGAGCTCTCTAACGGAGGCATGATTATGTTTCTCTTCCTGTTATTCAGGATACTGCTTATAAGCAGGGGTGGGATTCGCATCTATTCGCTAGAATCAGTTGTTAACTTTCTAAGCAGTTCGGAGAACCAGTTGTTAGAAGAAATTCCTGGCCTAATCCTGTAAGGAAGGCAGGAAGGAAACATTCTGGTGTTGCTTATAGAAACTGCCTCTCCATTAACCCTTATTACATTCTTGGCAGGACTGGACTTCCTGTCTCAGGAACTTCTCTGGAGTTTTTTTTTCCTCTCCTTTCCTGGTACTTTGCTTGTGTGGAGCCGGAAACTGACATATGTGTAGCCTAAATGAACAGTTGGAGACCTGAGAGTTTGACTTTCTTAAAGGGGAAGGGTTGTTTTAAGCTTTTTACACTGCTGTTGGGAGGAAATACTTCCCTGTTGGAGTATTGAAGAAATAATTGAATAACGAAGCAGAGCTGCCGGAAAGAAGCTTTTAATGACAAGGAACCATGAGTGACATTAAGCAAGGATTCTTGGCTAGCTGGAAAGATTGACATTCAAATGTGAGTTTACATACCCTTTCTGAGTTTTGGTCTAAAAATGGTTTTTGGTGATGTTTAATCCTGTGTTTATTGATGGGATAATTTTCTCTATTTAGCTTTGTTTGGGAAGAAAAAAGGTTAACTTCTGTTCCTGAAAAAAAACTGGGTTGAAAAATCTGGCTAATTCCTGTGTCTATTTGTCCTGGTAATTGGTTTAACAAGCAACAGCTACTGTTGTGATTTAATTATTTGTGTTGTGTTTGAATTTTTTCCTGCTCTCATGGTTTCTTTTTCTATCGGGGGGGGGGGGGCTTCCTTCCTGGGCTTTGTGGGTTTTGGGCACTGTCCTTTTGGGGGGGTTTTCCTAGGCGGAGGACGCACGTGGGCCTGGTTTTTTTTTTTTACTGCCTTTCGGGGGGCCATGTGATTTTCCCTTAAATCTGGATGATTTCCTCAGGATATCTTGTGAGGTGAGTGAGGCCAGCTGGTGTGTTTAAGTGGTGCAAATAGATCCAAAGATTGCTTCTCCTGGGTGTGCTCTTTCTGGAGAGCTTAAATGACCTCTCTGCTAAGGGGTTTCACTTCATGAGCAAGAGTTGGCTGCTGATAGTTATCATTGCATTTTAACTATTTTAATTCCTCAACGTACTCTGGCGCCCTGCCTGATTTGTAACTCAGGCTTGCAGGTATTTTTAATCTAATGATTGGTACTTAAGGCGGCTTTTTGCAAGCAAAGAAGCTTTTTGTATTTTTGTACAGGTAATCCTTGACTTACAACTGTTCATTTAGTGACCATTATAATGATACTGAAAAAAAGTGACTTATGACTGTTTTTCACACGACCATTGCAGTATCCCCACAGTCACAAGAGACCAGGCGAGGAGAAGCACCCCTTGATGTGAGTGATGTTGAGCTGGCCATGCCCAGCCAAGCCATGCCCACCAACTAAGCCACACCCACAGAACTGGCTGTTTAAAAATTTGAATCTCACCCCTGCTTTTAAGTGCTATCTGCTTAGAGCTCAAAGCATGGTTAGAGACCCCCACAAACCCACTTTACAGCCTGTTCCTGTTGCTCCCCTCTGGGAGGAGGTTTCGAAGTATTTCTAGCAGGACTTCCAGATTCTGTAACGGCTTTGTTCCCTAGGCCACCTATCTGGTAAACTTGCAAGGTTCATTTTTCTTGCCATGTACCTGTATACATCTGAATTAGACTGTGGTGTTTCTCCATGTCATAGACTATATGTGGGTATATGCATAATTTTGTATGTATGTACGGTATGTATGTATTCATTTATTTTGTCATGTTCATGTAGTGTATATTTGGAGGCGGTGAGCCTTCGAGAACTGTCTGCAATGAAATTTCATTTTTATATATGCTGATTAGTGTACATTCAAAGTGACAATAAAGTTATTATTCTATTCCAATCCCATTCCACTCCACTCCATTCCATTCCATTCCATTCTATTCTATTTTCATTCCATATTCTATTCTATTCTTTTCATGTGTTTCTTTATGGCAGAGGCTGGAAATGAGGACATTTTCAGCAGCATCCTCAAAGGAGGTTCCAAAATGTACAAACAGTGGTTGCGTTTGCACAATTGAAGCTCCCACCCAGTGGTGCAATTCAAATTTTTTTACTACTGGTTCTGTGGGCATGGCTTGGTGGGTGTGGCAGGGGAAGGATACTGTAAACTCTCCAGTCAGAAGCGTTATTTGTCAGTTCTCCAAACTACTCAAAATTTCCACTACCGGTTCTCCAGAAATGGTCAGAATGCCACCTCTGCTCCCCTTCTTCAGAGGTGTTGAAATGAGTAGATGTCCTCATGTTTGGAGACCGCCATCTTGACTGTTATGTGACCACTTCCTCTTACCATGGCTGTCCAAGAAGGGATGTTAGGAAATACAGCAGGATCAGAAGTAAAAGGCAGTTTGTGCGTGGGGAACCTTGGTTCCATGGGAGTGATGATGGGTGGAAAACATTTCAACTTAGTCATGGGCATGGAAATTTCCAGAAGAGAAGATAAACAAATCATGGTGTCTGTACGATGACAGCATCCTACAAACAAAGGTTGTATTTGCATCCAGTGCTGTTAATCAGTAAGCCAACCACTGTTTGAGCAACCTCTTCATACTTATATTCAAATATAATGTAAATATAAATAGCCTGGGCATGGCTTAGGTCAACTGTTCTGTACCAATCCCACTTGGTGCTGTGAAACTAAAACTGGAACTGAAACTCCTCTCCTCTGCTTGTGTTTTGCATTTAGGACAGCTTTCTTTTCAGGTGGGGAGGGTGAGTAGAACTCCTTAGCATCAGAGCGTGTTAATAATAATATTGGAAATACTAAAGCTCTGATGGTCATTTTGAAAAATCCTTTCTTAGTGAGCACCTAGAAATCAAGAGGAACATATGTGTCACATTTCAAGTTTGTAGGCTTTACAGTTCTGGAGATTTTGTGATGATGTGTGAAGTGGTATTTCGCTTTTATATATGCAGATTACCTTATTTATGGTTTTATTTCATATAGTTTTTCTCTTTTATGGTCGTAAGCCACCCAGAGCCTATATATTTTTAGGAATAAATAAATAAAAATACTTTTCTTCAAGGACTTTTTTTTTCTTTTTTTTGAAGCTTGGACTTGGGAGTCCGGAGGAAATGCCCAATTAAAAATAGTGAGTTTGGGATTAGTTGTGTTTGTTCTGGCCACACTATGAAACCATAGAACCATCAAATAAAAGTCAAAGGCTGCCTGTTAGTTCCATGCCTTATTACCTCATTTTGGTTCAATATAGTTGAATGCTGCCCCTTTAGGGCATTATATGAGGGGAGATATACTACTCTCTACATCAGGTAAATGTCTATGGAGATTCTCTGTCATCCAGGACATGGTTGTCCAAGGTGTTTTTTCAAGAGGCAACTGGACTTCCTGGTTTTTCTTTGAAGACGTTTCGCTTCTCATCCTAGAAGTTTCTTCAGCTCTTCAGAGAGAAGAAAAGAAGCTTCCGACAGCTGAAGAAGCTTCTAGAATGAGAAGCGAAATGTCTTCAAAGAAAAACCAGGAAGTCCAGTTGCCTCTTGAAAAAACACCTTTGGGTCTCTACTCCAGAGTTTCCCAACCGTAACCATTTTATGTTGTGGTTAGCCGGCAGCAGGTGCGGACGGCTGAGGAGAGCGAGGACTCAGATGAGCGGCCAAGACCGTTAGGGAGTGGACTGCTGCCTTCAGAGATTGTGGGGGCTGGCAGCAGCAATGAGGAAGTTCCCGAGGAGCCTGTGCTAAGTGCGCATGAGTGCAGAGTTGCTTGCAGAAAAGAGCAGCGACTGGGGAGTAAGGCTTCACGGTAATGGCTCCTCCCTCAAGAGGATAAAAGCCAGTTGTGAAATGAACATTCTTTGCAGAAGACGTTTTGAAACTCCAGCCTCGTGGACATTCCAGTATCCTGAGATTGTATTTGAAGATTCTTGTGTTGTAAAATATTTCTAGGTAACTTTATCTGTTGTTTTTGGCAGCCTTGCACAGTTTTGGCGAGGCTCGTGCTCATCCAGGTTAAGTAGTTTGCAGCAGCCTTTTAAGTGGGGATTCGTAAGAATCATTAAAAGGTTTCTGTTCCCTTTGGTTCATGTTTGTTTTGTTGAACAAGGGTTTGGGTCAGAACATTTTAAGGCGTGTAGACTTCAACTCCCAGAATTCCCCAGCCAGCAGCCAGGAATTCTGGGAGTTGAAGTCCACACATCTTAAATAATGGGGAAGCATGGCTCTACACCCATTCCAGCTGGGATCCGATTCGGTTTGTCCAGCTGAACAACTAAGCACCAAGCAGAAGCCTTCTTTACCTGTTGCTAGAAGCACAAAGCAAAGAAAAATTTGTAGAAGAGCCCGCATGTTGTCCGATCTTAAGGAGCTCATCTTGTGATGGATCCTCAGAAGTCCCTGTGATGGCGTCCTGAGGAAGCAGGGAAGTCAAATAAGTATTACATGCATTGAACAACTACAGCAGGGGTGTCAAATTCAAGGCCCGGGGGCCAGATCTGGCCCGCGGTGTGCTTGGATCTGGCCCACGGGGCCACCAGTCCACAGTGCCTCAGTCAGTGAGCTTGTGGGGTGGGGGTGCATGTGTGTCCCCCACACTCCATTTTCATTGACAGAGGGCTGCAGGAGGCCATTGCAGATGAAAAGGGAGTGCAGGGGGGCACATGCAGCCCCCCCCCCGGGCTCCATTTTCGCTGCTGGAGGGCTATCAAGGCAAACTGAAAACAAAACAAAAGGAGAAACGTTTTCCCTCTTGCATTTGAGCATGCAGGAAGGGCCAGGAAAGGAGAAAGGGAAAGAGGAAAGAGGGAGAAAAAGAAGAAAAAATGGGAAGAGAACAAGGAAGGGAAAAAGGAGGAAAGAGGGGAAGGAAAAAGAAAAGGAAGGAAGCTCAAAACCAGTGGTGGGATTCCAATTTTTTTACTAGCGGTTTTGTGGGCGTGGCATGGCTTGGTGGGCGTGGCAGGGGAAGGATACTGCAAAATCCCCATTCCTTCCCCACCCCACTAACCTGCTTTCCAGCTCCGTTCTCCTGTGCAGGGCAACAAAAGAGGACCCAGCCGATCAGCTGGGATTCAGGAGGTGGAGAATAGATGGGGGGGGGGACCAGTCAGAGGTGGGATTTGCCGGTTCTCCAAACTACTCAAAATGTCCGCTACCGGTTCTCCAGAACTGGTCAGAACCTGCTGAATACCACCTCTGGTCAAAACCATTAAAAAAACCACAGCGGTATGGTGTCAATCTGGACACGCCCAGGCAGGGGTGAGGGTGGCTCACAGCTTGCGAGCGAAACAATCCAAAGCTGCATCAAATCCACTCATCGGAGGGCAAACGGCAAGGAAAGGAAGGCACGTCCTTCCCACGGAGCAGCAGTGATCACCCCCCCACACACCCCCAAATTCCACCTCCACCTCCTCCTCTCTCTCTTTCCCCCCCTTCTCTCCAGCTCTAGAAGAACACAACTACCACTTCTCACCCTGTTGAAATCCTTCACGCCAAAAGGAAGGAGGCACCCCTGTTAGCTTAGTCGGAGGATCTGTGCACGCCAGTCGTGCCAAAAGGTAACTGACAAGAGGTGGCTTTAAAACACAGGAGGGTAAACCTGAGAAGGACAGAGGGCTGGGCGGGCGAGGGAAGCGTCACTTTTCTTTCATTCGCATAGACTAGAGTGAATCGTTCTTCTCCCAGTCGGGGAAAAAGAAATTCTACCTACGGACTGTGGCAGACTCCAATGTAGCTTTTCCCTACTTCGTCCTCACACACACACACCACTTCCAGATCTACTTCACTACCCTGGCAGCCCCCCCAATTTTTTTTAACAAGCCTCTCAAAGGGTGGTGGGGAGGGGAAGGTGAGACCCCCATGGGCGTGTTAACTTAAGGTGTAGGTGAGGGGGCCCATATTAGACTTGTTCTATCACTTAATACAATAACAATAACTTGGTCCTCAACACCAATAAGACCAAGGAGCTTATAGTGGGTTATAGAAGGAACAGATCCAGCCCTGGTTTATCAATGGAGACTGAATGGAGCAAGTAGCCAGTTTTAAGTTACTGGGTGTTACCATTGTAGCCCTGGTCAAAAGGGCCCAGCAGAGATTATACTACCTGAGACTTCTTAGAAAACAACAACCAAATGGAAAACTGCTGGTGACCTTCTACCGCTGCACCATAGAGAGCATTTTAACTCACTGCACCTCTGTATGGTTTGCCAATTACACAGGGGCAGATAGGAAAGCACTCCAGAGGGTTAATTTCATTGCCCAGAAGATCGTTGGTTGCCCTCTCCCCTCTTTGGAAGAGCTTTATAGCTCCCGCTGCCTTAAGAAAGTTCAAAACATCCTCAAAGATCCATCTCATCCTGAGAACCCTTTTCTTGAATTATTACCATCAGGCGGACGGTACAGAACAATAAAAACAAGGACAAATAGGCTGAAAAACAGCTTCCATCCCAGTGCAGAAGCTCTCTTGAATTCTACTGTATAGTGCAGTGTCGGTGTGGTGTCGGGGGTTTCTGGTTCAATGTGTGGGGTGTGAAGGATGTGGGTTTGTGTTTATTTTCATGGTCATGATGTGCACTGAAGATGGTGTTTGATTTCATTGTACGAGGTGCAATGACAATAAAGTAAAGTAAACTAAACTAAACTAAAATTAATAATCCTCTGGGTGGTCCTGAGGAAGGAAGGAAGGAAGGAAGGAAGGAAGGAGGGTCTCAGCGAAGTCCTGCCGTAGCACGTGGCCACCATAGGTGCCGCCGACATGAGTGATGTCGAGCGGACCACACCCACCACACCCTCCCCTCCCCTTGAGGTCAAACACAAATCTGATGCGACCCTCAATGCAGTGATGGGATTCAAAAAAAAATATTACTGGTTCTGTGGGTGTGGCTTGGTGGGTGTGGCAGGAAAAAGGATACTGCAAAATGCCCATTCCCTCCCCACCACACTAACCTGCTTTCCAGCTCCATTCTCCTGTGCAGGGCAACAAAAGAGGACCCAGCCAATCAGCTGGGACTTGGGAGGCAGAGAACAGACTGAAAGAAGCAACTTAGGCCGGTTTTCACACTTATGACTATTGCAGCGCCCCCCAGGGTCAGATGATCACCCTTTGAGACCTTCCTTCTGGCAGGCAAAGTCAATGGAGGGGCCAGATGTGCTTAACAACTGTCTTCTTAATTTAACAACTGCAGTGATTCACTTAACAACCGTGGCAGGTCACTGAACAACTGTCTTGCTTCGCCACAGAAATGTTGGCCACCCGGATTACTTGCCCTTTATTTCAGTTCTTATTTCCTGCAGGTCTTTGCTGCCACCTAGTGGTATGTTTGCAACTGACACCTGAGAGCCGTTTTTAGCTATTTTCATTGCTACAGGTAGTACCACCACTACGGACATTTTTGTGGCTAAGTGAGAAATTTTATTCTACAACTTTTCTATTTTACGACTTTTCTTGGCGCATTTGCTAAAGTGAATCACTGCAGGCGTTAAACTGGTGGCACGGTTGTGAAGTGAACCTGGATTCTGAATTGTCTCTGCTTGTCTGAAGGTCGCAAAAGGGACCTCCAGGACATTTGTGACCGTCGTAACTGTGAGACACTTGTCAAGTACCTAAATGCAAATCACGTGACCATAGGAATGCTCCAATGGTCATAAGTAGTGAAAAATGGTTGTAAGTCACTTTTTTTCACTTAGTTGTAACTTCGAGTGGTCACTAAGCAAACTGTTGTAAGTCGAGGACTACCTGGTGAGTTGTCTCCTCGTTAACTTGGGTACTGAAAGGAATTGAATGGATCTGCGTACTGGCTGGACTGTCACAAAAGGAGAAAATCCTCGGGTGCCCAAGATTATATGTGGTGGGGTTTTCTGCAGGGATGGGTTGCTACCGGTTCATACCGGTTCAGATGAACCGGTATCGAATTTTATGACCAGTTCAGCGAACCAGCAAATCCCACCCCTGGCTGGCCACACCCACCCCACTCTGCTCCGCCCCTCCCAGGAGTCCCCACACGGCCCGTTTTAGATTCCAGGTATGTGCAGAGGCTCAGCGAAGGCATAAAATGGGCCTCCCAGAACTTCTGGAAGCTGGAAATGGGCCTCTGGAGCCTGGGAAAGGTGAAAACAGTCCCCCCGCAGCCCGTCTTCGCTTTCAGGCCAAGGTGGTGCAGGAGGCTTACTAGGCCATGACTACCATGGCCACGCCCACCCAGCAACAAGGCAGAGAACTGGTTGCTAAATTTTTTGAAGCCCACCCCTGGTCTTCTGGCAGGGGAAAAAAACAGAGGGAGCGAGAAGAACTTTTAACTTGCTAGTGGCTTCCTCTTTGAATTTCCTTATGGGAACCTGGCAGGGAGCATCAAAAATCAGAAAAAAACCCACCCATTGATCTGCTTAATGACTGTCACATTCGCTTAATAACCGCTGCAAACAAGGCATAAAATCAGGGCCGGTTCCTGGGTGCCTTGACTTACACCCATAATGACTTACAATGGAAATTCTGGCTTCCATTACAGCCATAAGCCAAGGACCACCTGTAGAACGAAAAGTCAATTAAAAACCCTACGTGGAGTTGGTTGTGATCTGGAGTGTTAAAGAAAGAAACTGAAGGCTTTCTTTCAGCAGTTCAAGAACAAGCCAACATTCAGCGTGTAACAAACCACCGTGACTTCTCCCCTCTGGTGTAAATTAAAGGATGAAATAATGGACCATTTGATTAACGTGGTAACCCAGATGCCAGAAGCATTCATTGGAAACTTTGTTGAAGGGTTTGGCTGCTGCAAGAATTATTGGGACCATCAAATCGACAAGGTTTTGGGAAATGAGCACAGCTTAAGATCTTGTGGGACTTATGGGTCAAAACAGACAGACATCCTGTACATAACATACCTGTTATAATGGTCAATGAATTGAGTTCAGTTTGTTGGTGTTTCTATGCCAGTTGGTTCTAGGATTGAAGAAAAGCAATTTCAAAAAAATACGAAATACTACAACTATTTAAGTTGAATATTTTTAGGGGGGTTGGAATCCATTGTTGCACCAATTATAATTGGAGCCCATGGAGCAATTTCTGAAACATTTCCCAATATCTGAATATTTTGAATTGATCAGATCTGTACACCCTAATTTTTCAAAAACCCTGCTTGGAACTGCCTATATTCTCAGATACCACCTTAATAGTTCTTTAGGTCCTTAGATGTGAATCTAATCGTATAGTCCCTATATGATTATTTAAAATTTGAAAATATATAATAATCTGGCTGGCTGGTGACTTAGAGATTGAGGAGGATTTTCTTTGGGACGAACAGCCTGATATCAATTAATGTTATCTTACCATTATTAACAGATGGTTTTTGGCATCTCTCCTTGTTCAATCCTCTCAGCCCGGTGCTTTAGGTGTTTTTAACTGATGTTAACTGTCATCTGTCAGGTTCTATTGCACTTAAAGGGACAGTACTTTTATCTGTAAGTAGCCCATAGGTTTATAAGTCTGTGTGGGCATGAGAAAAAGGGAGAAATAGATGGGAGAGAGAAAGAGAAATAGGTAGGTAGGTAGATCTAACAGAGAAAGTGGATAGATAGAGGATAGACAGGCAGGACAGAGATGAGTGAGAGAAAGAGAGAGGATAGAAAGAGAAAGAGATGAGGATGAGAGAGAGAGAGAGAGAGAGTGTGTGTAGATAGATAGATGATAGATAGATAGATAGATAGATAGATAGATAGATAGATAGATGATAGATAGATAGATAGATAGATAGATAGATAGATAGATAGATAGACAAGACAGATATAGACAGAGAGACAGAAATAGACAGACAGCAGACAGACAGACAGACGATTAATAGTGAGGGATAGAGATAGAGGATAGACAGATAAACAGAAGGTAGAGAGAAGATTTGAGGGGGAGTGGATTGATTCATTTATTGATTCATCGATTTTGATTATGGTTGTAGGCCCAGTCAACCGTAGCCAACTTTGCAAAACATTCCACTTTAATAATAAAAGTTGAAATAATTCACCATAAAGCATAAGTTCATTCAAGGCTCCGGTAATTGGCTATAAAGCCCATCATGGCATGGAGCTGGTTGTTTCAGGGACTGCCTCTAAAACCACCAGATTGGCATTCTCTCTCGATCCTGCCCACTGAAGACGGCCATCTGGCGGGATCCCAGAAAGAGAAACTTTTCTGTTGTGGTTCCCGCCTGTTGGGACTTCTTAAGTGACGAGTTACAGGCTTCCCCAGGGGAGCCCGTACCAGTTGCCAAACTTCTGGATTTTGATCACGTGACCACGGGGGATGCCGCAACAACTATAAGTGCGAAAAATATTTCATTTTTTAAAGTACCATAACATGGAATGGTCGCCAAATAAAACCGCTTTAAGTCGAGGACTGCCTGAGAACAAACCCATACACACATTCCGTATGTGGGAGGTGTCAGACAGCAATGAATCAAACAGTGCGGAATACAGACCTGGGGTTCGATTGCGGGTACATGAAAGGGTTAGTATTTTTGAACATCAAAGCAAGGAAGTTGCTCGCTTCCTTTGGCTGAAAGAAAACCCGTCTAAAGCCATGCCACGTCCACAGAACCGGTACTTAAAAAATTTGCATCCTACCCCTGTTTCAGACTTTGCTTTTAGCATTTTCATGAAGGCGATATCAGCATTTAAGCATGGCATCCGTGCCTGCTTTTCTTTCTTATTTTTTCTTTTTGGACTCGCTATTTCTATAAACCGATATCTCTAATAAAGCAACCTCTACTTCAGACCTGTTTCCTTTCAGCCAAAGGAAGTGAGCCACTTCCTTGCTTTGATGCTCAAAAATACATTGAAACGTTGAACTTGGTCTAGTTTATGACTTGATGAACCACTGAGGTTTTTTTTTTTCTGTCTGTTTTTGAAGTTTCTATATTAACAAACAATGAAGCTAAAAGACTCTTATTTGACCTATTTGAATGGCTAGGTGGAATCAGACAGACCCTACCCAGTTGCTTTTTTCATATGACTTATGAGTTAGCAACAAGAGTCATTGATCCACTCATTTAGTTTCTCATTCAAGAAGCTTCTTCAGCTCTGGTTTAGATCATGGGGTGGGATTCTACCAGTTCGGCCCAGTTCCGGCAAACCAGTAGCTCCAAAGATCATCCGGGAGAGAACCGGTACACACTGAAGATCAAAGTATTTCCTTTCCCCCCAGTGATCAGCTGTTTTCTGAAGATCAGCTGTGGCGAGGGATTTAGATTAGCTAGAATGCAGGAAATCGTCAGCTGATGCCCCTCTTGCTGTTGTACTGCTTCGCCCAGGAGGCTTCCTTGAGGCCCAGGAGGCACAAAATGGAGTGTGTGGGTGCTGTTGTGCGTTCCCCCGTGCCCTGTTTTTGCTCCCAGGAAGCTTCCCTGAGGCCCAATTTAAAAAAAATTGCTCACTGGGCCTCAGGGAAGTTTCCTGGTCTCTGATGCAATTTTGAGGCTTGTTCCAAGATATTATCTTTATGGCTCTGAATCCTGTTGGATCCTAATGAGCTGTTACCTCAGCTGTTTACAAAAAGTGCCCAATCTTGTTGGTGTCAAACTTGTATGAAGAAATTATGCAGTCTTAAGTCTTTCTTCACAAAGAATAGGTCAATCAATCCTTACGGGAACCAAATCAGTGGAAAAGCAATAAATTAGAACATTGATCATCACACGGGTGGGATTCAAAAATTTTAACAACCAGTTCTGTGGGCGTGGCTTAGTTGGTGGGTGTGGCTTGGTGGTCATGTGATTGGCTGGGTGTGGCCAACTCAATATCACTCACATCAAGGCACACATCTCCTCGCCTGGCCTGTCATGACTGTGGGGATGCTGCAACAGTCGTAAGTGTGAAAAATGGTCATAAGTCACTTGTTTCAGTGCCATTGTAACTTTGAATGGTCACTCAACACAAGCAAAGTACCAGCAAAGGAGGGGAAAAAAAACTCCAGAGAAGTTCCAGAGACAGGAAGTCCAGTCCTGCCAAGAATGTAATAAGGGTTAACGGAGAGGCAGTTTCTGTAAGCAACACCAGAATGTTTCCTTCCTGCCTTCCTTACAGGATTAGGCCAGGAATTTCTTCTAACAACCGGTTCTCTGAAGTGCTTAGAATGTTAACAACCGGTTCTAACGAATAGGTGCGAACCTGTAGAATCCCACCTCTGGATCATCAGAATAACCTCACCATTGTTCCTGAATTCCATAACAAATGTGAGATAACCACAGGCCCCCTATTGTGGGGTATTTATACTGTCTGACACTGAGTAAATATAAATGGACTTTTTCTAGAGCCCATGTTAACCATTTGTCTGAAATGGTATAGCTTTTCCTGAGCAGTGGGACAGCAGGCTTCCGAAGCAGGGAGTTGGACTAGGCCAGTGGTCGCCAACCAGTGGGCCGGGGACCACTGGTGGTCCACGAGAAAATTTTGGTGGTCCGCAGAGAAATGTCACCCCCAAAGCAATTAATCCAAGCTGTGTGGGAACACAAGCCTGTGCCGCCCACATGGCCCACAGGAACACAAGGCTTGCATTGCTTGCATTGAGAACAACATGAAGTATTGAGGGGAGGAGGGAAAGGGCAGACGGGGGGAATTTGTGCCATTCACCCCACGTGCCTTGCCTGGCCACCAGGCTGCTTCTTTCCGCTTCTTTCTTCTTCTGCTTTTGGCTGCACGCAAGGAAAGCAGCAAAAGTCTTTCTCTCCCCCAAACTCTGCCAGAAATGAGTCTTTGGGTCCCTGCAAGGCCTCCTTGCTCCAAAAGGCTGCACCAGCAAAGTCTCATTTCTGGCAGAGTTTGGGGGAGAGAAAGAAAGACTTCTGCTGTTTCTGCTGCTTTCCTTGCATGAAGCCAAAAGTCTCTCTCTCTCTCTCTCTCTCTCTCTCTATCTATCTATCTATCTATCTATCTATCTATCTATCTCTATCTCTATCTCTATCTCTCCCCCCCTTCCCCTGAAAACAGAGCTGGAGAAAGAATCCTGCAATCCCAAATAAAAAAGGATCGATCGGTAGGAAAACAGGGTGGGGAATTTTTCTGCAGACTTTTGGGGGGATTTTCCCAGGGTCTCTGGTCCGCGGGATTTAAAATTATGAGTTTAGTGGTCCTTGAGGTCCAAAAGGTTGGTGACCCCTGGACTAAAAAACCTCCAAGGTCCCTTCCAACTGTTATTCCATTACTCTATTCTGTCTTCAAAAAAAATCCAGAAAGCCCAGTCACTTCTTGAAAAAAAGCACATTTGGGACAACTGTGACCTGGACGACTGAGAACCTCCATAGACAAACGAAGTCTAAAATCCTATACAGCAGCATCCCCATCGGATACACAAAGCTCTTAAAACCCCGGGCTTTTTTCCCACCAGGATTGCATGGATGGTCTCTCAGGTGCAGCTCAGTTAGGGTCTGCATTTGGTGTAGGGAATCACAGGCAGGGGTTTGGATATTCTACTGGATATGCCAGAGGCCAGCAGAGCTGGCAGCAGATTCAGACAGTGAGGAGGTTGGGGAGGAACATGGACCAGTCCTGGAGTCTGGGGGAGGCTCTGATGACTGGTCTACATCAGAGGCAGAGATGGGGCCAGGGTCTTCTGATAGTTATCAGCTGCCTTCGGAGTCAGACATCAGTGAGGCAGAAGAACAGCTGGAGCCTGTTCCCAGTGTGCACATGCGCAGAGCTGCCCGAGCAAGGGACTAGCTAAAGAACAAGGGTCGACTTGGGAGTAAAGCCACAGGTGGACAGTGAATGGCCCCTCCCATAGGGAATAAAAAAGGAGCAAAAGGGGAATTGGGTTTTGCAAGAGACAATTAGAGTGAGGTATTGCCGGTATTGTCTGCTACAGTGTGTGGCATCTGAAAGATATCAGCCTGGCAACTCCCCAAGGTTGATAAAGGTCTGTAATTGTGAAATATCTTGAAAGACTATTGGCCGGGACATTGCTGGAGAGAAATTCACTGTAAATTAAATAAAAGGGGTTTATCTGGACCAAGAGTCGGCTTCGTGCTGTTGGGGAAAGCCTAGGTCAGAACACAGAGCCCTTCTTTGACTTTGTCCCTCTGCTTGAGGGGGTGAAATATGGAGAAATGTCCCACTCCTAATTCCTTTTGAGGCCGTATCTGCATCTCAAGGTATCGAGTTTAAGAATCTCATTGTTCCCTAATTTTTCCCAGAGCCGATAGAAATCCGACTGCATGTCACATGTTTGCTTAAATATGTCATTTATTTTTTTACAGAAGAAAACAGAGAGCCAATGCCAAGAGGGAAATTCATGACATTACAAAGGCGAAAAGGAAACCTAAATAGATAATAACTGCTTCAATTGCAGAGCTGATGCAGCCCCATAACAAATGACTTTTAGAGAAAGGTCCCGAGAAAGAAAAGGAACCCAGCAAAATACAGCAGGTGGAATTGGCAAGAGTAAAGCCTCTTCGAAGCAGCCACCAAACACGAGGCTGTTATAATCACTGTGTTGCGACGTTGAAGGATGAACAAGTCCCCGTCGCTGATGTAACGGCATGTTGACTTAGTGGTGCAGCCTTTCATGATTGTGTCCCAGAGCACCCCATCTGGACATGGAAGACAAAAGAAGCAATTCTGATGGAATCACATGGAGGAATCTGCCGGTGGTTGGTCTTCAACCCGTTTTCTCTCCATTAAGTCAAAATAAATAGCGTGAAGTACGAAGTACAAGTGGAGAGATTGGAGTTTTCCTAGTCCAATAGCTATTCAAATTAGATGGAATCCAGATGTAGGAGATGACCAGGCTGAACCCAAAGGAGGGGTCAAGCAGGTCATCAGTCTCAAGTCCCTTTGTGCCCACCGGAGATCTAAGTCCAGCCCTCTATGAATTTTTATCTACCACCAACTGGCTTTGACTGTTAGTAGTTCAGATTCTTGTAGAGAACTTAAGCTTGCAATCATCATCATCATCATCATCATCATTTAATGACCGCATAATCCTTTACGGGGTGGAGTCTGGGCAATTGAATGGAGCTAGCAGAGTGTTGAATGGCCGGATGCCTTTACCTGTCGCCAATGCAGAGTTTTGTTCAGCAAATATATTCTCAGGGTGCCCAGAGAAAGAAATGTCTGCCTCTACTTAGGATCGAACACACAGCCTCCTGATTGTGAGGCGAGACTTCCACCTCTAGGCCACCACACCACTCCGAGAGAACTTAAGTTTGCAATAAACCCATATGTTCATTTGACCTTCCTGGAATCCTGATTTCCCACGTTTGACCCCAGCCGTCAAAGGAAGCTCCCAAGCATGGGAAACGGAACTCACCTCCATAGGAACGCATGAAGAGATGGAAGCAGTAATTTTCATCCCCGGTACAGTTTGTAAATTCTTCCTTGCATGTACCTGTTTCAGAAAAGCAGGCAGGGCAACGCTTTCCATTGGTGTTAGTCTCTACTGAAGGTACTGAAAACAGAAGTGGGGGGTGGGGGGGAGAGAAGATTCCCAGACAGTTTAACATTCAGAGAGGGTAAAGGTAAAGGTTCCCCGTGCAAATCGTTTCTGGGGGGGCAGTGATCATTTCCGTTACAAAGCTGAAGAGCCGGCACTGTCCGAAGACGTCTCCGTAGTCATGTGGCCAGCATGACTAAATGCCAAAGGCGCATGGAATGCTGTTAACTTCCCACCAAAGGGGTCCCTGTTTTTGCATTTTTTTACGTGCTTTCAAACTAGGTTGGCAGAAGCTGGGACAAGTAATGGGAGCTCACTCCATTGCATGGTGCTAGGGATTCGAACCGCTGAACTGCCGACCTTCCTGATCGACAAGCTCAGCATCTTAGTGGTAAAAACTTTTTGAATCCCACCACCGCTGACGGTAAATTTATCAATATTACGTTATTTATTTAATTGATATCCCATCTTTACTGTGTTTTCTAAACAACTCAGGGAAGCAAGTGTATCTAATATTCTTTTCTTCTCCTATTTTCTCCACAATAACGATACTTTCGGGGTGAGTTTGGGCTACCTTAGAGGACAAAACATATGAAGAATGGTTGGAGGAACTGGGCATGGCTAGTCGAGTGAAAAGAAGGACTCGGGGTGACAGGATAGCAGTCTTCCAATGTTTAAGGTGCTGCCACAAAGAAAGAGGAGTCAATCTATTTTCCAAAGAACCCGAAGGCAGGACAAGAAGCAATGGATGAAAGCTGATCAAGGAAAGATCTGGAAGACACACCTTCGGCATTGACAAAATCCTCAGTAGTCAATTGCAAAAGGTAGCAGAATAACAGAGTTGGAGGGGACTTTAGAGGTCTTCTAGTCCAATCTTCTGCTCAAGAGGGAAAGCCTATACCTGTGATGGTGAACCTATGGCACGCATGCCACAGGTGACATGCAAAGGCATTTGTGCTGGCATGCAAGCTGCAGGCAGACTTACCTCACTGCATATGTACACGCCTCACAGCTGATTTTCAGCAGGTTTGAGGCCTTTTTCAGCCTCCCAAAGGCTTGAGGAAGGCTTCTGCAGGCTTTGCAGGCCGAAAACTAGCCCCGTTTCATCACTTCCTGTTTTTCCGAAAATACCAGAAGTGACAAAACGGGGCTAGTTTTCAGCCTGCAGAAGCCTACAGAAGCCTTCCTTTGGGAGGCTGAAAAAGGCCTCAAACCGGCCGAAAATCAGCTGTGAGGCTCAGTGCAAGTAAGGGGATGGGTGGGATGGGTGGGATTGCACACGCATGTGTAGGGGATGTGTGGGACATGCATTGCCTTCTGGGTGCTGGCACATGAGCACGAGCATGCAAGCGCATGCGCTATTTTTGGCACAGGAGCCCAAAAAGGTTAGCCACCACTGGTTTATACCATTTTGGACAAATGGCCATCCAATCTCTTATTTAAAACCTCCAGTGTAGGAAGGAGAAATTTCCTGACGTTGAGAATCAATTAATCAGGCTGGGGATTTTGTCAATGCCAACGTTGTGTCTTCCAATCTTCTCCAAAGTTTTCTTCTCCTCTGGTGGAGACAAGTGTTTTTCTACCAGGTTCCGAGAAAGAAATCAGTTTTCATTAGCACTTTAGTTCTGTAAAGCATTGGGTGGCAATGAGGGTGATTGACTGGCTTGTACATTAAAATGCAAAAAAAGCAAATATTGAGAGAGATGTCAAGAAAACACACACTTACATGAAGGGACGGTTGTTTTACAAGCATCCCCAGTGCAACAAACCAAATTTCCTTGAAGGATTTTCCCGTTCCCCATGTTCAAGTGGGTTTTCGGAGCATCACAGACTACACTGGATTCACAGCCCTGGGCCACGGTCTGCAACACTTTGCCTGCTACAGTGGAAATAAAGAGGAAGGCATGTCCTAAGGGACTAGACTAGCCAGCAGCTGCATCCCATAATTTAAGCAGGAAGGAGGACACTATTGACCTTGTGGTTTGGCTGAGAAATTACTACAGCTTCTGGAAGTCTACTGGGGCAGCATGGAGAAGGTATCACAGAGAAGAAAATCCATAATTGAAGATGATCATCAACAGTGCTTAATCTACCACAGACCCAGAGGGCACCAAGAGTTGGTAGCATTATAATCTGGCAGACATGATTGCCTTTGGGATGGATGGATGGGGGCAGTGGGAGAGAAAGAGAGAGAGGTGGTAGAGAGATAGGTAGATAGAGGTAGGAAGAGGTAGAGGTAAGAAGGTGGATAGATAGAGAGATATTGATAGATGATAAAGATGGATGGATGGATAGATGGATGGATGGATGGATGGATAGATTAGATAGATAGATAGATAGATAGATAGATAGATAGATAGATAGATAGATAGATAGATAGATAGATAGATAGATAGATAGATAGATAGATAGATATACCGATGGATGGATGGATGGATGGATGGATGGATGGATGGATGGATAAATACATTAGATGGATGGATGGGTAGGCAGACAGACAGACAGACAGACAAATGGTAGAGATATATAAATGGATAGATAGATGAGGTGGATGGATGAATGGATAGATAGATGATAGATAGATAGATAGATAGATAGATAGATAGATAGATAGATAGTGATAGATATTTGAAATAATCTATTTCTGTTGCATTCATTGGACTGTATCCAATCAATTGAGCATGGCACATAGGATACCCCTTTCTGCCTTTCCTGAGAATACACTTTAAGAAATGACTGGCTAAAGAGTTGTGGGAGCTGAAGTCCACGCATCTTAAAGCTCCCAAGATTGGGAATTATCTCAAAAAGACCATCGTTACCTTTGCCAATGCTCCAGAAATATAAATCAGCTAAACTTAGGTGAGGCATGTAGGCTAGGATTAGATGTCTCCATGTCATGATGCTATAAAGTCATCTAGCCTAAACTGTTTGCTTAAACAGAGTCTAGATGTGGTGTGCATTTGTCACTAACTTAGAGTGTTATGAATTAAAACGATGACACATGTTTCTTGTTCAGGCTCACAGGTCTTCATATTGCCAGTACAGTTGGTGCCAATGTCAGAACATACTTCACACTCCAGAGTGGCAACTGAGGAGAGAGAGAAGGGGGGGGGGGGTTGTAATTCATAAAATAAAATTCATATTTTTTTATAATTCATGTTTTATTTACAATTTTCCTTTCACACAGTTGAGGTAATTCCTCGTTAGGAGAATGAGCGCACACAAGGAGACGTAGTTGAAAGTGGTGAAGAATAACACACAAACAGCACACAGCTACACTGTATAGTAAAATGTAGGTTTTTACTTCCAGTAAAACGGTTAAGCAAAGTTCAACAAACAGTCCAAGTCATTCACAGTTAAAGCAGTCAGTTTTCAGTCCAGGGATAATCCAAATAACAAAATCCAATATCATAAACAGTTCAGTAACAGACTTACATCAAATCCAAGAATAACGATGATCAGTAACAACAGTCAATAGTGAAATGCAGGAACACAGTCTCAGCAACAAGAGAACAGGACAACCCAGGTTTCTGGCTCCATCTTATAGGAACCACACCCAATTACAATTTTAGCATTCCCTTAAAGAGACAGTATTAAAATGTCTATCCTGGTTTATATATTTTCCAACCCAACTGTTAGGTGACTTACATTCCTAACCCACACCATACATATTTTGTGGACAGTGCAATGACTGGGTCAATGCCCTTTTTAAACAACGCTAACAATGCTAATACAAATAAATATACACTATACAATACTAATCTTCCAACCTCAACAATTCTATTCTCTCTTTATGGTTCTTATTTTTTTCCCATTAATTCATTTAAGCATAGATAACATTTCTTTTCACTGTGTATTTATTATCCCCTATTACGTCACTTATATTTAATGTTTTTAAAAATTACGCTTCATTCCACCATAATTTCAATATCCCAAATATCTAGAACTACTAAGCAAACCAAATGTTAACAAAATTTAATCAATCCCGGAATTGTATCTCAAAATCACCACAATCGCTAATCCTTAAAAGTTTTAAGTTCACAATATATTTTAATACACTATTAATATTAATAATACAATTAAATTACCTAATCCTAAACTTCTCTTTTTTAAGAGAAAAAAAAACCAAAAATCTCTTCAAAAAAAAAAATTAGAAAGACATGGATGGATGTTCAAAGGATGCAGCAGAAAGAGAAAAAAGAGAGCGTTTTCTGAGAATGTATATAATTGGATCATCCTTCCTGAATTCCTTAACCCTTTCCTTTGGAGGTTTTGTCAGTGGATTATAGCAAACCTGTAAAATAATTTTTTGGGAAAGATTGCGCTGTAGAGATTCTGAAATAGAGTCAGAAGAGTAGGGGGAGTTTGGATTTTCTCCAGTCCTGCTCAAATCATCAATTCAATTCAGGTAATCAGTTCTATCCAAATTGAAAATTCAAAACATTAACCTGAACTGAATCTCCAAATCAAAATGCAGTATTATACAATCCCAGCAGGTGCAGATAGCTAAGCAAGGCGGATAGAATAGAATAGAATAGAATAGAATAGAATAGAATAGAATAGAATAGAATAGAATAGAATAGAAGAATTGGAAGGGACCTTGGAGGTCTTCTAGCCCAACCCCCTGCTTAGGCAGGAAGCCCTGTAGTATTTCAGGCAAATGCTTATCTAATCTCTTCTTAAAAACTTCGAGTATTGGAGCATCCACAACTTCTGGAGGCAAGTTGTTCCACTAATTGATTGGTCTCACTGTCAGGAAATTCTCCCTTCGTTCTAGGTTGCTTCTCTCCTTGGTTAGTTTTCATTCATTGCTTCTTGTCTTGCTCTCAGGTGCTTTGGAGAATAGCTTGACTCCCTCTTCTTTGGGGCAGCCCCTGAGATATTGGAACCCTGCTATCACGCCACCCCTAGCCCTTCTTTTCATTAAACCTGTGAGTTGTCCCTGATTTTAAAACCTTTTCCCCATTTTCCTCTGAGGCTTCCTTACCTGTCTTTAGAAAATCAAAGAACAAGAAGATTTGCAGCAAAGATTGGACGGTCTTGGTTATTCCACCATGAGAGTGCATGTCCAGAAACCTTTTCTGCATGGTAGTAAATTCTTCAGGTGAAAGGTACCTTGAATGGAGAAAGAAGAACTAAGGCTGAAGGAGGTCCTTGTTATGGTTACTCTTGAATTACCCCGTAATCTATCATGGACCCGAGGGAGAAATTCATCCAGTCTGCATTTGGCTGAATTTACAAGGCATTCTTGACTTACAGTCAAAATGAGGACTCGAATTTCCATTACTAAACAAGGAGAAATTGTTTAACAGATTTGAATCATGCTGACCTTGAGCTCTAAACACCCAAATAAACATCGAAATAGTTCTTTACTGGAGGAGGAATGTGAAACTCGGCTAGTCTGATGATGGATGTTTGCAGGGGCCCAGGAGACAGGAAGTGATATTACACAAACTGTGACTTAAAATAAACGTATGTGCTTCATAACAATACAATCATAACAATACAAGAGCACACAATAGATACAAACTCAAGGTCAACCGCACCAAACTTGACTGCAGAAAATACGACTTCAGCAACAGAGTGGTCAATGTCTGGAATACTCTACCTGACTGTGGTTTCTTCCCCAAACCCCAAAAACTTTAACCTTAGACTCTACTATTGACCTCACCCCTTTCCTAAGAGGCCTGTAGGGGGCGTGCATAAGCGCACCAATCATGCCTACCGTCCCTGTCCTACTGTTTTTTTTTCTTATGTGTATCCATGTCTTCATAACTATGTTTTTACTTATACTTGTAAGCAATTGACAAACCAAATAAATACTAAATACTTCTGAGCAAAGGAGTTCAAAACAGGAACAAACTTTGTTGGATGTTGGATGCACAGTCCGATCTTCACATCCTCAGTGAGTCCTACAGTGCAAGCCTTAGTCTCCTTGTCTCTCCTCTCAAAGCAAATATATTTGTGTGAACTTCGAGAAATGAAGTTATGCCTCTCTAATGGCTTTGTATGAGCCATGGTGGCACAGTGGTTGGAGTGCAGTACTGCAGGCTACTTCTGCTGCCTGCCGGCTGCCTGCAATTTGGCAGTTCGAATCTCACTGGGCTCAGCCTTCCCTCCTTCCAAGGTGGGCAAAATGAGGACCCAAATTGTTGGGGGCAATAGACTTTGCAAACCATTTAGAGAGGGCTGCAAAGCACTGTGAAGCGGTATATAAGTCTAAGTGCTTTTGCTATTGCTCTTGTATGCATGCGTGCCTTCAAGTTGTGTTGACTCCTGACAACTTCCAGCATCACTCCCTGCAGTTTTCTTGCAAGATTCCAGAAATGGGTTGCCACTGCCTCCCTCCTAGGGCTGAGGGAGAGTGGGAATGAAGGAAGGAGAGGGAGTCAGAGAAGGAGAGATGGGGAGGGAGGGAGAGGAAGAGAGAGAGAGATAGAAGGAGAGGGGGGGGGAGAGAGGGGAGAGAGAGAGGGAGAAAAAGTCTGGCCCCAAGAAACTCAACCAAATTCAATGGCTAAGATGGACCAAATTCAGTCCTGGAGTTAGACTGGGTGAAAAAAATTGAAGTTTTCTCTGGCCCCTATTGAAAACCATGGTCTAGATCCACAATGTGGATGATTTTATACCATACCAAAATAGTTCTAGATAGATAAAGACAGGATAAGTTCAGGTAATTGGTTTCTTTTCTGTATTTCCGGCCGTGAAATGAACCTAAATTAATTGCATCAGTTTAAGCTCCCACTTCCAGTAACTGCCACCCGAGATGCTAAGGTTCTTTTTTTTTTTCTTCCTTAAAGTGAAATTACCTCCATCCTCAAGATTGGGTTCCTTGTGCTGGAACCCAGAGGAAGCTATGAGAGGAAAGAAATTTTACTCATTTTTTTTTTTTTTGCAAGAGTAAACATTTTTTTTACTCTTTTTTTTCTTTTTCTTGCAAAAAGTGGTAAGGGCCCTCTCCTGTGTAGGCCTTGTGTTGTATTTGAACATCTCTCTCTCTCTCCCTCTGTCTCTCTCTCTTTCACACACACACACACATGTTTTACACTCCTCTTTTTCACGTGTTTTAAACCCTCCGTCTGCTGGGCGAGCAGTGTATGAACATTCAGCTTAGGTGTTCTAACTGCCATCACTGTGAGGAATGGCAGGACCTGGAAACGACATCAGCCATCTTCTTCTGGCAACTGAGGTAAAATCATCAATCCAGGGGAAACCTAAGGAAAAAGAAAGAGGGAAAGGGTTCACCCTGTTCACCAAAATTGCACCATTACTCATTTCACTGACACAAACATTACTTTTTAATTCAAACATAAGAAAGGAGAAAATAAACAGCATATATGTTTGATTTTGCATACATTTCACATTTCAAAGACTTGCCTGGGTCGGTACCCAAGAAGCAGGATGTTTGCATCTTGAACTGATGGGAAAGAGCCAAAGCCAACACCAGTTGCTGAGTGAGAAAAAAAAAATCAAAAGATTTTTTCTTTGTGGTGGCAGGAGATGCAGCTTGAAATCCAAACTCTGGTGACTTCCGTTGCTTCTCCGCCAAAGGCCCTGAAATTGGTTGACCAGGGATAAGAGGTGAAACTGCCTCAGTAGGACATCTAGATGGATTATTGTGACATTTGGACCTTCAACCTTGAAATGAAGTTTCTACCACCCTACTGAGATGCCAGGAAGACTGTAGAACAGAGACACACGATCTAAAGATTTGACATGCTGGGGAGACAATCCAACAAAGGGGAAGGAGGACCGGAATGAAATATTTTCCATGCCATTTGAAAGCTGCACCAGTGTGTCGTGAGTCTTGCATCAACGTTTTGGGCAGCCTTGATGTCCAACTTCATCCGTGGATCTGTAAATCTCAATGCCGGATTCTTCTTTCAATCTCACATGTCTTTGACTTGTTCAAATGAATAAAAAGAAAATCACAATATCTCCAAATGGCCAAACTGAGGAAGCAAAGTGCCAAACTTAACTGGTCTCTCAGTGGGCAGTCAGAAATATTTTTTAATGGGCATTAAAGACGAAAAGCATCATCGGTAAAAGAGCCAGGAGGAAAAAACTTCAAGAGAGGAGGAGCTGCTATCTGTCAACCCTGAAGTGACACTAACCCTATTGGCTTCTTCTCAGGTTACATCCTGGATCCCGGAATTTCCAATCAGTGGCCCTCGGTAGGTTTTTAGTATATATATATATATTTCAGGCTATTCAGGGGAATGACCAGAGCTCAGAAATAAGTCAAACATGCTGTTGACTATGACAGGTTTTTTTTTTTTCATGTGTTGATGTTAAATAGTATAAAAATAGGCAATGCCATATCCTTTTGGAATACAAATGACTTTTTTCTTTCTTTCCTAAGTAAGAGAGACAGGTTAGATAGATAGAAAGATTGGAAGGAGGGAGGGAGGGAAGGACAGATTAAACAGAAAGATACAGACGGACAGACAGACATCTGGCTGGGGAGAGAGAGAAGCTTTATTTTCATAATTTTGGCAGCAAATGGAGCTGGGACCACTTTACGGCTGACCCCACCAGAAATAAAAAGTCAAAAGGAAAAGTGATGGTCCCTCCCAGGTGAAGCCTTGGTGTGTTTGCAAGTAAGCCCAGGACTTGCTCAATGGAAAGACGGGCAATTTCACGGGCAGACCAAAAGCAACTCCTACCTGAACTGTCTATGGCAAGGTCTGTTTTCTGCTGGGCTAATTGCCACCGCTGCTTCCTGCATGTCAGGGACGATGGGAACACAGGGAGCGACTGAATTACAGGGATCAATTGTATGTTCTTAGGACCCAGCCTATTTGTAAGGATCTCCAGAGGGACCAACTGCCGAATGATGAAGCAACTTGGTGGCTATGTACAGTATATAGTAGCAGAATTCTAGCTAAACACTAACAGAACTAAGATCTTCCAAACCCTGCTGTTTCTTTCTCATCCTTCAAAGCAGCTTCTACCTCCCACATTTACAGCATGGCTTAAGAATGTTCTTTTGTGATTCACTCGGCTGCCACTCTACAAAGGCTAATGTTTTCTCCTCTCTTTAAACCCGTTTGCTAATGCCAGAAGCACCTGGTGTTTGCCTGCCACAGTCTATTATTCTCTTTCCTGGAACCTCTTTGTGCATTTCTCTCATGTCTTCAAGCACCACAGACTTCTTCCTTCTTCCGACTTCGTATGAGACTCGCAATGAAGCTGTGACAGAAAGCTGTTTTAAGGCCAAACCGAGTTCTTCACGCTGTAGGATTTGCCTAGTTTTTAACTGGCTTATGAATAGATAATCAGAGGCCTTTTTTTAAGGGATGAATTTGTTCTGACCCAGTTTCCCAAACACGACCAACCCTCTGAAGTGAACTCAAAGATTCCTTGAATTAGGAGCACCCCCAGCCCCGTAAAAAGTTTCTCTTTCAACACAGACTAACCAATCCATCCAGTCGGAAGATGAATAGTTGTCTGCCACATCTATTCATCTCTGCCCCCTGCTCTTTATCCCCAGAGCTAAGGTGGGGCTTCACTAGCAGCAGTGGCTGTTCCTTCCCAAGGATCAGCCCACAGATTTCCACTGCTCTCCTCTCCTCTCCTTTACCTTCTGCTTATCCACGTGTCAGGCACTAGACCCAACTGTTCCTCCTCTTCCTCATCAGCCACCTCCAGGCCTGTTGGGGGCTGTTGACTCTCCATCTGAGGGCTGTTGGATGGTCCAGGCTCCATCTCTCTCTCTCTCTCTCTCTCTCTCTCTCTCTCTCTCTCTCTGTCTCTCTCTTTCTGCCAGTTCCATT